TTTCCTATGCCTCCCTTTTCAGGTTTCACTTGCTGTACTGACAGCATGGGTATCATATGAAATAATTATGACTATGTGTGTGTGTGTGTGTGTGTGTGTGTGCTAAAAATGGATTTCCTCTTAATAAACTGGAGTGGGAAGGTGTACTGCCATACACATTTTCAGGTATAAGGGCTGTCTCATATATGGGCAAAATACCAATTTTAGGCCAGAGGCAATATTTACAGATTCCTCAGAGAATCAGCACTGTTTGCTGTTCACAGCACAGTCAGAGTCACAATGCTGACAGAGACCATTATCACGTACACTTTTGTTTGGTTTCTCAATGCTCCAATTCATATTTACACCACATCCTTGGCACCTAGGCACCTTGAGGCGATATGTGGGCAGTCCTCATGCATAGGATGATGTCTTTATGGAATGATGTATGCGAGGCAGCGCTTGCCAAATCACCTCAATTACTTTGTGGGCTGCCATTGCACACTCGATTGGTTGGGCATGGAGTCAAGCTATTATTGCACATGTGGTGGGACAATTAATCTCTTTCGTTGCTTAGAACTGCTAATTCTGATGAGACCCGATAAGAGTCAGGGTCTGTTATTGAAATCTGGGTGATTTTTCCATTATTTTGTTAAGAGGGTTTTGTGTTGTAGTAATGTTGATGTTGCAGTACTTCACTGTCCATTCAATAGTGGTAATAATAAAATGGAATCCATTCACATGAGGAGAGTTGTTCACAGTTTTTTTTTACATCACTAAGGTGATGTGTGTCATTATTTGATTTCAGAATACTTTTTCATAAAACATCCTATGTAGACAACCATAAGCAATTAAATTAAACCATTTAAACACATACTGGTAAAATGTATACATTATAAGTTACTTTGGTTGATGCAAACATTTAATATCAATAACATACTACAATAATTCAGATTACACAATTATTTATTATGGTCCTCGAATCTGATTGGACAATCAAATTAGTGTCATCGAAAAATGTATTAAACACAACTGACTCAAATGACTCACTCAAAGACAGTTAATCAAATTATTCATTCAAAAACACTGAATCATTTTGAGACTGTTCTACTGTCTGATGGTCAGAGATGTGCAACAGATTCTTAAGTTTTTGACTTTGTTTGGAATTATTTACCTTTTTTATATCTAAAATATGTTACCTAAAGCTACCCTCACCTTAATTTTTTCTCTGCACAGAATCTTATCTCAGCACTTGTGATAAATGGCTAAGCTATTTTTAATTATATGATCTCATCTGAATATCATAATATTTGTGAAATTTAGTTAATTGAAGTTTTGTAGTTAATCTGATTTTGTGTCTCTGGAAAATGGTGATCTATGACATTGCATTATTTTGAATATCAAAGTTTTTCTCTGTTTGTTAATGAGGGGTTTGTGGATACATGATTTGTGAGGTAAAAGTTATGCTTTTTTTCTTTTTAATTAAAAATATAAAATTTTATCCTTGGGGTAGGATGCAACCTTCTTTCCCTGGGGTAAGTGCTTATTATTTAATATTTCCATGAATTAGATTTCATTTCTGACATCTTCGCTTTCATTAAAACCTATAGTTTAATTGAGTGAAATCATTATATTTGCATTCATAGTGTTGCTATTATGACATAGTCTTCAATAAAATGTGGGCAATTAAATATGTAAATACTCATATATACATGGAAACTTTTATTTAACTGTTTTACAACCAGTGATTCAACTGAGGCTTGCCATTGTGAATGATCCATGGTCAATTTCGTCTCATTCATTGTAACAAACTTTCAGGTTTACACTACCCACAGCCAGTGGTGGAAAGAGTACTGAAAAAATATACTCAAGTAAAAGTACCATAACCTTCCAAAAAAAGTAGTAGAGTAAAAAGTACTTGTCCAAAAAACAACTTGAGTAAGAGTAAAAGAGTAGCTTATTTAAAAGTACTCATGAGAATTGAGTAGTGAGTACTGAGCTGTAGATTCTACCCCCTTATAATAAACGTTGTGCACTGCAATTTAAACATTTATAAAACATTGTACATACAAAATAAATTTTTGGGCACCCCTTCCCTCTTAATATACTGTATATTACCACCCCAACACACAAAAATATTTCGTAATCAGTGGAAACCAAACCGTTACAGCGTTCCCTATAGACCTTTTTCATTGAAACGCGAAATGACCCATTATGCTTTGTGCGTACGCGTATGGAGAATGCTTCGAACTTCCGGTTGCAGCTTGATGCGTTTAGTTAGGCGTTACAGAGTTATTTGGACAGCTCTGAAACGACGGTTGTAATCTGTTTTACTTACTTTTAACGTCTATAATGTCAACAAGTAACGGCAACTTTAGTTCACGGTGGCAGCACGATCAAGACTATTTGACAAAGACCGTAAACAATGTAACTTTTTCTGTTCCTCATCCTACGAAGTTGACCAGCGCCACCTCCTGGATTGATGATATGAAACAATGGCCAGCAGTCACGTATGTTGGCATATTCAATTACCTTGTTTTGTCTGAGGGTGTGGATGGCGAGGAACTTAGAAATTATAAAAGTACCAAAGCATACAGTTATCTACACAGTAACAAAATTGGATAAATTCTTTGCCATAAACATCTGCAGTTCACATTACTGAAAGCGGAGGTAGAGCCGAGTCAAGCTATAAAGAAACCAAATCACATCGCGTGGGTTATGCTACAAAATAACGGAGTAGTGGAAACAGCTGGATGCTCCTGCGTAGCTGGCCCCGGCAGGTCTTGCAGCCATGCTGCTGCAGTGTTGTGGAAGGTGGGTATTTATAAATAGAGCAACACTTCTAGTGTGGCTAAACGTTGTGCAGTGCTTGAAGTGGGAAAAAAAGAAGTGCCGGTGTTGTGCCCAATTCTAACCCCCACCAGATTATTACCCCCCTAGTATTGGTAGGTTTAGATTTAGGTGTGGGGGAGGGGTTAGGATTAGGCAATCAGGTAGCGATTTCAACGAGGGGGGTAATAATTTGTCAGGGAGTCGAAAATGGGCACAACACCTGCCCACTTCAAGCACTGACTGTGTGATTCAATGTAAAGACTTATTTTTACAGCAATATTTAACCAATTATAAATTTCAGTTATAACCAAATTGTTTAGCTCTTAAAAAGTGCTAATGGTGATGTACTGTTTAATAATAAAGTAAATAAAGTGAACAGTATGTTCTGATTTTTGAAAGGTGCAAAATGCAGTGGCCAGTGGTATGACAGGGCTATCTTGCACTGATGAGCAGTGTAGATGGAATGCAGGAACCAGAAGAAACCTTGAACAGAAAATTAGTCAGATGACATTTAGACGTCACAAAGCTGATGATGAATATGGTGCGTCATCAACAGGGGAGGGAGAAAGGCTAGCATCTACACCAAGCTATGACACACATCAAGACTTCAGGGAGAGAGTCAATTCTTCAGACACAAAACCACTTTTTGAATTAAAAAACAGTCTTTTGGAAAAATGCTACAATGCCAATGTATCAGTGCAAGCAGATGACACTGACAGCTTAGACCCCCACCAGCCACATGGAGAGACTTTGACTTGCAGTAAATGTAAAGCATTTTACAGCAAACACATAGAACTGAACAGTGACCAGGCAGCTGAATTGGAGATTCAAACACAAAATCAGAGTTTGTCAGAGGTTTGGCATAGTGCAAAACAGCTAAGGATCACTGCTAGTTCAGCTAAAGGTGTACCAGTAAGAGCAACAACAAATCCTGATAAATTCATGAGAGAGCATCTCTTTCCTACCTTTCGAGGTAATGCGGCTACAAAGTATGGAAGTGAGAAAGAGGCAATAGCCCGAAGCCTTCTTTTAGAAAAAGGTCTACAGGTCTCCCACTCGGGTATCAGGGTCAGCCTGACAGAGCCATGGCTGTCTGTAAATTCATGAGAGAGCATCTCTTTCCTACCTTTCGAGGTAATGAAAACTACGAAGTATGGAAGTTAGAAAGAGGCAATAGCTCGAAGCCTTCTTGTAGAAAAAGGTCTACAGGTCTCCCACTCAGGTATCAGGGTCAGCCTGACAGAGCCATGGCTGTCTGCAAGCCCTGATGGCATAATAAATGGTATGGAACTTCTGGAAATAAAGTGCCCTGTTCCCAAGAACACCACCACCTCTCTAGCAGACCATTTCACTATAAATAATAGTGACATCAAAGTGGTTGATGGGAACCCTGAATTACAGAGGAACGGAGTCAGGGGCTACTACAGACAGATACAATTAGGCATGTTTTGTACTGGGCTGAGAATGGCAACACTACTTGTCTGGTCTCCAAAGGAACACATTCTGATAAATGTACCATACGATGCAGAGTATTTAACAGACCAGGGTTACTCGTCTTAGACGCTTTTACTTCTCAGTGATGCTTCCTAGAGTAGTAGATGAATTAATTGCTGGACGATTCAAACTGTATGACAAATACTTACATATAGTCAACTGGTAAACAAAGATTAAGAGTTTGAAAAACAGTGTACAGATGCCGACATTAAGGGGGAAAAGTTTTTATTGTGTCAAGGCAAGTTTTCATAATTTTGAATGTATTTGATATTTCCTTGTTTACAGGATTTGCACTTAAAGTCTTGTATGTTTTTTTTT